TGATGGTAATGAGAATATCAGAAGGCAGAAAAACAGAATTTCTATTGTGTGTGTGCTGCATTCATTTGTGAAGGTAAAGCCAGCTAATTCTAGTTTTGGGGATTTCCATGTTTTGATCTTAGGTGTAGAGTTGCATGCTGCATTGTTGAACAAAGCCTATTTTTCAGGACACATCTTGTGAATGTGGCATGTCTTGTAAAGAAGGAAGACTGAGGAGGCAACTGCAAGTTTATGAAGCTTATTAAAGTGAGTGCTGGTGCAGTGATGTCACGTTGGCTTGACTGGGACGCCCTGCTTCGGTTTGAGTAAACAGGCTTGTTTTTCCAGCCGAATGCCAGAGTCTGACCCCAGACAGGAACCAAAGGAGGACATTCATCTGCTCAAACACCATCACAGACAAAACATCACACGCAGCCAAAAGCTGTTTTCTTTGTCACTTTAGAGGAGCACATAAATCCTACTTTTGATTCTAGTTGTCCCTGTTATGACACTGTTAAGATAAAAGTGTGTCAACAGCTTCGTTCTATCATTCTCCCCCAGGAACCAAAATCAGCTGTCATTACCTCCAGCCAGTCTCAAAGTGCTCTGGGTAAGTCATTCATTATCCATCTGGGGAAAAGGAGTGCTTTGACAGAGTGATACACTATGATACACATAACCAGACTGTGTACTAGAGCAAGAGTTGTGAGCTCAACACATCATAGCTCTTTGGGTGTAGCGTAGGTTCTCTGTGTAATGATATTATGTCTATAATCCATTCTCATTATCCACACACTAGAAACATAAAATACTTAATATGAAAAGATAAGAAGACTGATTAGTTGGATAAACAATGGCTGAATATAAGTAAAGTGATACTTCCACATGAAGTTATAATCAACCTCCTCCTAACTCCAAACACATTACTGGTTGCTTATAAAATGTATGACAGATATTTGAATAATAATTCAGGCAAATGGTCGATATGGATTTGTGTGCCTTCATAAGCCGTAAAGCAGCTGCCTTCTCTTCTTTGACACGTCATTGAAGTTTCATCAGCGGCTCTGACACAAGCGTGCTGCTGAGTTGATGGAGTGGAGGGTGAACTTAAAGTTGCACATCAGGCTGAGCTCTTAAAGCCGACGGGATGGTGGATGAATTAGGTGATGTCTAAACACCAGATCCGTGGCTTGGGCACGGAGTGCGGTATAAATCAGGGCCCCTAAATATCAAAGCCTTCACAGCCATATGTGTCCGGCCTATACAGTTACATTTGTGGATCTGGAAGAGATTAGAGCTTTCACACTAACAATAAGCGTAGGATGGTTTATGAAGGGCTGAGCCTTATCAGGCATGTGTTGGTAGGTAACAGCGTGTGGAACATCACACACCATTATCCATTGTACATGTGAAGATTATTTTGGTGCACTCTGTGTCTGATCTGTTTTTGACTTTAAATAAGACAGTCCACAGGCAACTCACTAAGATGGATATTTTAGCCCTCTGACTATAAGAAACATATACTAGGCTTTTATGTTTTTTAATCAAACAAAGTTATGTTTTATAAATGGATTGCTCAGGTGAAACTTCATTGTATCATTGTACAAACGCCGTGTTATCTTTAAAGCTGCACTAATCTACATATCATAATATGTTTGTAACATCTATGGAAAAAATGACTGTATAAGGTGCAAGTGATGAACCCACTCAATTGTTAATTATTGCCAAACTCAGCCACCAAGTGTCCTTCTAGAGTTTGTTTGCCATGAAAAGAGTTTTGATTTTCTTTGCCCTTCATGAGATAACCTTCTTTGATGTTTCTACCTCCACACCAAAACAAATGATGCAAGAGCAATTTTGCTTTTGGTGCTAGCACTAATGCAGATCAGATATCTCAGAGACAGATAGCTTAAATCTTTTAAAATCCCCTTCTTAGTCATTCAGCTGTAGAACTTTTTGCTCTCTTTCTCTTTGTCTGAAACAGAAAATATATTGTGCCTGGTTCATTTGCTCTAAAAGACCTGAACTGTATCACCATTAGTCCTGAACACAGCAGCATCTCTGTTTCTCTTGATGTGTTCCAGTGCACACAAAGAATCTGCTGTAAATGTAATGTTATCAGGCCTGAGCTTGGAAGGTTAAATAAGCCGTGACTTTGTAAATTGACATGTGCCATCACTTTTGTTTGATCCAAACTCAGGATGGTCTTTTAACTCAAATTTCTCCTTTCCCCTTTGACTGAACATCTGTCCGACATCTGGCCGTCACACTTGTCCTCCTCTCCTGACGGGAGTGGAGTCATGAAGTGCTTAACTAACCCTATCCTCTGACTTTTTTTTTTATATTCACACCAAAAATTCCCTGTGAGCAAAAGCAGCTGCTGCCTTCCTCTTCTTCATTTATAATTCAATACCCATTATTCGCCATGCATGAGTCCTCATGTGGAATTCCTGCCATACCGAGCGAAACAAGTAAAGACTTGATTGGGAATTGAACTTATTCTAAATGCTTGGAAATGGGCCAGAAATAATTACAACTACACATGCATGCAGAGTATGTGTAAATATAGCCTGCAATGTGAGTGTGCTCAGTACATTTTTAAAGTGTGCTCCTCAAGTAGATAACATTAAAAAGTCCAGTTGCTCTAAATTACTCTCCACCTACCCCTCCCTGTGTCGTCATTAATTAATGTTATCTCTACTCAGCATAAGGTAGAGATTATCATTGTGCTGTAAAACAACACTCCCTAATCGACTTCATCTCTGGCCCATTTCCTACACTTTTTACATCAAACTTAAACAGATAGCCCCATTTAGAAAGCACTGTAACTCGTGCACGAACCAGTCATAAGAAAAGCCAGGACTGAGCTGGATGTTGGATGATTTCAGTATCCGGTTTGGTACCACTGAGCTTTTCTGAATCTCTCAAAATCTTTCCTTGTTCAAATTTATATTTCCGTATGCCTTCCAGGTAGTGACAAGAGAAAACTGCAAAAAGTAAGACGGGGAAGCTTTCGGAGTTCGCGCCTGTGTAGCCAGTTTTAGATTTTACACCAAGTGGAGTGTTTGGGTTTGAGTAGAAGATTGGCTCCTAAGTGTGTTTGACACCTTGTGTATAAGCAACTCATAACGGGAACAGAGGAGAATCATAAGTGGCAAACTGTAAAAGGAAGCGAGGCACTTTACAGCATATGTGCCTGCCAAGTAAATCACACCCGTTCAGTCGCGGAGCAGCAGAAGTGTGTGTTACACGTTCACCCTGTGAGTATTCAGACAGGACTGCAGCACCTGAGCATCTACTGTATGGATGGAAAAGTTTGAAGTAATGGTCTGATGTCAAGTTATAATTAAAGCTGCTATTGACTCCCGTCTAAATCTGCATCTTCAGTGTGTGTGTGTACCGTCTGTATGTAGCCTATATAACCACCGCTTTAGGGTGTTTTTATTCTCGTAGCATGAAAAATTAAACAAGCGCTGTCTGAGGCTGCATGGATTACCCATTCGAAGCTGGCAAAATGCTCCAAGGACCCTAACTCTCAAGGGCCCCAAAGCCCTTAGGTTGGCAATTATTTTGTGGTACCTTGATCTATTGATTAATACAAACTGGAATGGGGTGGGTTTAAAAGGGGAACTCTATTGAGGTGGAGGTGTTGAGTTAATGAGAAGTGAGTTTACCAGACCTCTGTAGGCCGCTCCTCATCTCTGCTTGAGGCTATAGCCGCTCGCGGCTACATTAGCATAACACACCCGAATCTCTGACGGAAATGTCAGCAGTTGACGGATTTGTATTGTCCGTAAAGTAAGCACCAGGTTTTTGACAAGGAAGAAGAGTGTGTGGGGAAAAACAACGATATCTGGTTGTTCTGCATTGCTGCTTTTGTCATATAGAGGGGCTGTCTCATACATTTAATTACATTATTATTTAAATTATGCTTGCATAGTTCATATTCTTACATTTAAATTGTATCAACTCAAAACGTAAGGGGAACAAAGAGTAGGCTTAACGGGGGCTCAGCTCACTTCTTGCCTGGGGCCTCCTTGTAATCCTGCCCTCACTTTGTCAAACCCAAAACTATCTGCATTCCACTGACTACAAAGTTGTTTCATTTACACATGTCATCTTGTTTAGTGAGTTAGTTGGTGGAAGTTCAGTGACCTGGAGCAAGCCATCAACAGGCTGCAACATCAGGAAGAGATTGAACGGGTTTCCGGTCAAACGAATATGTCTTGTGCGGGGAAAATAAGAAAGGAGAGGAAGTGACTGGTTGCGGCGGAGATGATCACCGCACACCAGGAGTGCTGTGAGATCAAGGCAGTTTCACAGGGGAGAAGGAAGGTTTCATCAGCAGATCAATCAATTGGTTTGACCTTTGTGAATCCCCGCACAGCTTCCTCATCAGATTAGCCAATGACACTCCTGGCCTGCCTCCAGCAGTGGTTCAGCAAAGAGGAGGGCTGAGCTGCCCTCTCTCAACAATGCTAACCTTCAACACATCCTGTCAGCAAGACTATCTCAAGGGCACCACAGCCGGTGACGTGTGCAGATAGTGAAATAGGAGGCCAAAACACTGGGAAAATGTAGGTAAGAGGTGAAAAACAAGGAAAAGGAGGAGGAGGTGTATGCATGTCAAAAATGTTTTCAGACTTTAGTGTGATAAGGCAGACATTTTTAATTTTTATTGCGAGGACACAAAATGTATCTATTTCCTTAGGATAGGAAGGAACACTGGATTGAGCTGCATCTACACTCAGGGGCAAAACAAAAAAAAGATAGTTGACCTTGGTTAGGGAGATCTCCCAGGGAGACCACCACATCCCTCCGCCCAGACATAGTGGTGTGGTCCTTCGCCACCAAGGTGGTCTTTCTCATTGAGCTCATCCTCCCATAGAAGGAGGGGGAGGAGGCTGCCTGAAGACGCTGAAGGACTCACAAATGGCAGTTGATTGCAAGAAGGCACTGTGGATTGCCATCACTAATCCTGAGGATAACAGTGGCAGGGTGGTGTCCATCCCACAGGACAGTAGGTCAAGCACTGGGGTTAACGGAGCAAAACACTGATGGGTTGACGTATTACATGCACCTATCTTAAATTAAATTATGTACAAAATGCAAGAGAATAAACTCAATTGAATTGTATCCTCTGACCCCGATGGTAAAAAGAAAAATTCCAGCTGTGACTTTAAGTTGGCAGGAGTGACATCTCTTTCTTCTTTTGCAGTCTGAAAGAAAGTTGGTGTGACGATGACTGAGAAAACGTAAATACTCTGTCAAACTAAAGCCTATCTGAACCGTGACAGCTGGGACAAACCACACACAGTGATGTTATGTTTTCGCTGCATGAGTTTGTTTGTTTGTGTGTTATTCAGTGCCTCAAATGGCATGGCAGTAAAAAATGGCAGTAAAAGCATTTCCAAAACCGTCATTGGAGCTTCTCAGTTGAAACCCTTTATTTTAGGAATCTCGGGGCATGATTATTAAGTTGTAAGCTTAATTTGACAAGAGCCAAAGAAACTGAGACACGGAGGAAAACATTTTCTCTGTATTTAATATATAACAAAACACATGTTACACATTACAATACCAAAAGAATGCCTCTGTTCTTCGCGACACATGTTTGTGTCCCCACTCTTTTCTGATTGCAAAATCTTCTCAGTGTAAAAGCATACATGTGTAACCAATCACATGACACAATGTGCTCTATGTCAGCGCATCAAAAGAATATGTTGCTTCCTACAACAGACAGTGAGCAAACTGTATAACTCAATATTTATGATACATAAAACGTCATTTCTGGGAGTCAAGCTGTGGCCCACAAAGACACATACACACACACACAACTCTAAAGTAAATATGCTTTTTTTGTTCTTTGGTCCCTAATAAACACCTGGTTGTTATACACCACAGCTGCTGCTTACATAAAGGTAGTTAGGCTATTCTTTTGTGTTATTTGGTCATAAAGGTTTCAGCCATTTGTGGCCTGTGTGCTGGCACAGCAGGATTAACATCACATGGATTTGCACATGTGCATCCTTTCCACAATTAGCACTGATGCAAAATATAGCGACCGTACAGTATTGTACATAATACTGTACGTTTCAGAATACAAAGGAGCTACATCTACCTGCTCTTTAAGCTCAGTAGTCCCAGTTGAAGCATCCAGACACTGGAAATATTTAGAACTAAAAGAAAACAGAGAAGTTAACATGCAAGACCTCATATTTTGAAGTTTATTTGCTTTCTCGTAGAGAGAGTTGCATTAGATGAGAGGGTCGATACAGTGCCACTCTTATGTCTGTACGCCAAATAGAAAGCTAAAGCCAGCATGAGATTTCCTCAGCTCAGCTTGCCACAAAGACTGAAAGACAACAGAGAGTCACTCCCTCCAGCAAAGAAATAGTCCAGCACATAATCCTCCCCCGAGCGTTGCTTTTAGTACGAATCAAACAAACAAATATAACATGTTAATTAGCCAACTTTGAAGGTGCTGGTAAGCAAATTCTTGGGATTTGTTTTTTCCTTCGGACTGAGCCAGGCGAGCTGTTTCCACTGTTTCTAGTTCTTATACTAAGCTAAGCTTAACAGCAGCTGGCTGTAGCTTCATATTTAGTGCACGGACATCTAAATTCCCTACAAGTCGTACTATTCCTGTAACTATGCAACTCAGAACACACATGCATTAGATCATTTACAAACCTTAGTTGCAGGAAAATTAATTTCAGTTTTTTTTTGTGTCTGAAGGATTCAACTGAAGTGACATGAGCTTATGATTAACAGAGACAGCAGGACTAAAGCACTGAGCCAGTCAGTAGCTCGACTAAAATGATGAAGCAGCGTTGCATGAAGTGTGGAGCAGCCATCAGGGTGTGATGTCTTTGATTTACAGGAGGGACGCAAAACATTTAAAATGTACAGAATATAAATACAAATTTATATAAAAAAAAGATTAACAATATTACTCTGCTGATACTATCGGTATTCAATGCCTGTCAGATTATACACACCACACACACAAACACACACACACACACACACACACACACACAGTACAATCCTACATGAACAGTACAAGCAATGATTTTACACATATACGGCCACTGTATTGGCTTTACAAATGAGTGACAATGAGTGAAATATATCCTTTCAGTATCAGCTGTTATAATAAAACTGCTTTGTAAGTGCTTTGAAATTGATCCATCAACGTTGATATTAGCCTGTCTTCAAGCTTTTCTACATGACTCAAGCAGATTTCTGTACAAAGGATGCTGTCTGTGAACAGATTCTGATAAGAACAAATTAGTTGTAACATACGCATATATTGCATTTGTAGTCATTTGGATTTACAAACCGTCTCAGATCTGTGGTGGGTTGTCTACAGCTACAGCAGAGTACTCAGTCTCAGACATGTTGGAAGTGTCAATGAGGCGTGCCAAACCCGTCCTCGTGGAGTATTTAAAGATGAAGGCCTTCATGAGGTCATAGCGGTAGTTTCTGTTAATGAAGTTGTAGAGGATGGGGTTGAAACAGCAGTGGAGCAAGGACAGGCACTGGGTGAGGTGCAAGGCCACGTAGATCACATTCTCCAGGCCACAGGTCAGAGGCACCAGGCCCAGCTGAGACAGGGAATCAACCAGGAGGACGCCATGGTAGGGCCCCCAGCAGCCCAAAAACACCACAATGTAGGCCAGGATCACCCTGCGGCTCACACGACGCTCTTGCTCCACTGTGGAAGATGATGAAGAAGAAGAGGAGGAACGAGAAAAAGCGCGGGCTAGCAGCACGTAAAACACTGCAATGACGGGGAAGGGGAGAGCAAAGCCCAGCAGGATGAAGCTCAGCTGCACGCCCACCATCCACTCCCTGGGGTTTCCCTCTGGGTACACAGGCCTGCACAATATGGTGTCCCCATGCGTTGCCTTCACAGTGTGCAGGAAGTAGGTGTCTGGTATGGAGGCGAGCAGAGCAAGAAGCCACACCCCTACACACACTCCGCTGCGGAATAGCTTCCTGCGTGCGCCTCTCTCATGGTCCCCGTGCTTCGTCACAGTCAGGTAGCGGTCCATGCTCATGCAGGCCAGGAAGAAGATGCTGCCGAAGAGGTTGACGGAGAACAGCAGGTGTGTGAGTTTACACGCTACCTCACCTAAGGGCCAGTGGCCGTGCTGGGCCAGCGAGCTCACCCACACAGGCAGGGTGGCGCACACACATAGGTCTGCCACTGCCAGGTGGGTGATGTACATGTGTGTCTCATGGCGAGGGGTGGAGTCTCTTTGGGCACGAATGTTTACCCAGAGGACCAGAGCGTTAGCAGCAAGACCGACGATGAAGATAAACATGTAGAGGACACACATGGAGTAGAGCAGAGCGTTGCGGTTGAAAGCCGTGGCGCACACCGTTGCATCCACACTCGATATGTTGCTAAAGGCTTCGGAGAAGTTGAAGTCCCCCAACGACTCCCACAGGTCCTCCAGCTCACTGGTGCTCAGACTCATATTTCAGCACTGGGAGACGACCACAGACCACTGGGAGGGAATACACAGCACTTCTGACCGGGACGGATCCTGTAAAAACAAGACGAAATGCTACCTTCTGTTATCATATTTAAGAAGCAATTTTCTGTTCATAAAGCATGGCTTATTTTACCGTTGTGGACTCAAAGTGCATGAGCTAATAAAACATAAAGCCACTTGTGGTGTGCCACCAGATCCTGAGGAATCTTAATGCGGTTAACTTGTCAAAATACTGCTTTCATGAGTTAATAGAAGCTCTCTGTTGCCGTGTCAAAAACATATTAGTTCCCTGTGATTGATGTGCAGTCAGGGGGCAGTACAATAAATGTTTACATTAGCTCCACTAGCACAGAGTGCAGATTAGACATGAGGAAGTGGGTTCGAGAAATCCAAACACGGTGTATTTCCGGAGCGTTCCGGGCATTCCAAGATAAACCATTGGTCAGGGTGGGAAACCTGATGCCATGTTTTCCTTTAACATGCTTGTTATAGTAAGAAATAAATCTGATGTTTCTCTTCTGCTCGTCAAGGAGAGGGTGAGAGAGGAGCTGTCACCACCCAGATGATCAAAGAGAAGACTGCCTATAACCTCGAATACGTCATTTTACTACATCTGGGTCTTATAACTTAAGAACACATGCACACAATTTCAAATACAGGATACATTAAATCTATGAGTAAGGTGACTGAAGCAATATGCAAGATCACAGAGGTGGTAGTCTGGAGCAGCTTGGCATGCCAATAACCTGGCATGATTCGTTTGAGCCTAAAGGACCACTGAAACCCTGACTTTTCTGCTGTGATGTCTTTCTTAGCTCCCCTAACTGGCAGCCTGCCACAGTGTGAAAGATCAGAGGTGAAAGGTAGTAGATCAAAACCAGAACACGAGAGGCTTAACCCTGCTGTTGCCCCTGAATGACTTGTACGCCCACGGAGTGAATTGTGTGCAGAAATCAGCGGGAGTCTTGACGCCTGCAAAATGGTCCATCCAAGGTTAAAACGAGGGTCACCGACCACTGGGTGACACAGCACGGCGGAAAACAGTGAAATGTGACCGCTTCACACATCTGCTTTTGTAGGAGACGTGTGCTGCACGCGGGATAATTGGCACAAAGTGTGTGATAAAAGCAAAAGGCAAAGTAAAAATGTATACAAGGACACCTGGAACTTATTAAGATGTGCAGCTGTCTAGCGTGTGTTATGTCTGATTTTGTTATATGTTATCAGTTAACTTTTGTATTTACATTTAGTGCTACTTTATACGCCCACTTCGCTGCCTTTCAGGGACAAATGTACTTTTTAAACCACAACATGTATTTGACAGCTACATTTACCAGTTGCTTTGCAGGTTAAAACATGTTGTATATACAAAACATATAATCATCTTGTAGAATATGGTAAAATGACACATATTGAAATACCCAAAAGTACTGTATGCACAGTTGTAAAAAAGAGCTCCACCAGCTGCAACATCAAAATGAATATTTTTTTAATATTGAGTTGGACCACTTTAAAGAAATATTAGATTTGTATGAGTTCAGATTCACTGGATTAGCCCCAAACATACGCATCTGGTTTTTGATCCATTAAAATTGAACTGCAATATAAATTACATACATGTGATGGAAGAATTTGACTGCATCCATTTGGTAAAAAAAACTGCATTTATTTTTCAATGCAGGACCCTTTTCTGTAATGGATTATTTAGCTCATTTTTCAGATACTTAATAAATAAGTATTGCTCTCCCACTGCTTTTGATAAAGCAGTTTCTTAAGAAATGTCAGAAACCTGACATTTAATTCCACTTTCAATTATTTTGAGACACTGGAAAGTGCTTTTCATTCTAATAGAGGGATTTTCTATGCTGAGATAATCCCTCACAATGGCCTCTGTCTAATTCCCCTATATTATATGGAAAATACCTGGAGGTGCCAGGTAGCCCCAGAGGCTTCAAGCTAATTAACCTCTTAACACCCACACCGTCAGATAACAGAGACGGTACATGTAGCCCATATCTCTCTCTCTCTCTCTCTCTCGCTCTCTCTCTCTCTCTCTCTCGCTCTCTCTCTCGCTCTCTCTCTCTCTCTCTCCTCTTTTCAGCTCGACAGCATCCAGTTACAAATTAGCTGAAAACGTCTTTTGTTCCTCAATACACAGAAAATAAAAGCAATTGAAGGCGATTTTCATGTGCTAATGCTGCCGACATGAATGGTGCAGGTGCAACGTGTTTGTCAGAAGTTTCTCCAGGCTTTAGTTTGGAGGGATACAATCTTTGCCTTTTTGAGACAGGACTTTGTGTTTTCGCGTATAGATTACCAGTAAAAGAGTTGCCTTGTGCGTCATTACGCACAACCGAATCCAGCGAAAGATCCCAGATTGCTGTTGACGGCGAACACATACAATGTCATTGTTGCCATTGTTGATTTATATCAGGCTGGGAACAAACTCTTATCAGATGTCCGCGTAGTATACAGTAGCCTCAATCCGCGGTTGAGCGTTGAGGCAAATAAACAACGGAGAGGCACGCTGGGAAGATGGAGAACTACAAAAAAGTCACAAATGATGGTATATTACTATTAATTTCAATAACAAAATTGAGCATATGTGTTTGTATCTGCAACAATGGGAGTTAATACAGTTATTGAATGGACACAAATTAAGTATATTTGTATGTATGCAGTACGCACAGATGATCGTAGGTATCGAGCATCTCTGGGGGTATTTTTTTAAGTGTTAGAAAGCCGAGAAACTACCTGTACACGAGCAATCAGATCTTGTCCCCAAATGAGCTCATATAGGCAGCTTACCTGTTTTGATTCCTGATCCCTCGCTGAAATCTTCTCTTCAGAAGAACAGATTTGTTTTTGTTTAGCTTTGGTGCTGAGGGGAAACGTCAACTCCACTGGGGTAATCGTGTGCGCGCTACCCTCCGCGTCCTTAAATGAATATGAGCCTGTTCCTTGTTCTGCACTTGCTGAAACTCAGAGGAGAAACGCCTCCAAGGCTGGTCCTAACTGCTTTGCGTATTGACATGGCATCGCTTCGGGCGTTCAATAAACAGCAAGCAGTCTGGCGAGTTTCGGCCAAGAAGGAAATAAAAAAAGAACACGTGGAATTTCCTGTTTACAAACTCTCCTGAAATACAACTTAATAACAGATTTTCACATTGCTGAACAGTATATGTGTTTCTTACTTCATGCGAGTGTGTTTATGGAATGCAAGTCTGTACATGTACGGCATGCACTACGCGATAAGTAAAGGACAATAGGCTATGTTATTATCAATGTATCGTATGGGTGTAATATATGACCATTTTAGGAAAAAGCTACAAAGTAAGAAAAATGCAATAACCTAATATTGTGCAAATTTAGAAAACGTAAAATCCCCAACAATTTTAAATGACACTCACCTGTTAGATGCTTCACACATGTTCTGCTGCAGTGGTCTTTTAAAATCAGGTGTATCATGATTTACTCGCTACAGGCACACACAATAAAAGATTGAAATAGTTTAATTTCATCATCAAAATGTATGTTGCTACACGTTTTAATCTGGCATGCATACATTATCATTCCTTTTAAAGTAGGCTATGTATGGCATAATATGTTTTATTATTACTGATTTATTCATTGAAATCATGCACTGGAATGCAATAACATAGTATCATGCATGCAAACTTCAGAAACTGTATATTTTGAAGATGCTGCTTTGTGTCTGTTGTGATATTTTTTGTTAAGATTTAGTGACTGATCGGTCAACTGTAACTGTATATTTCCATATTCCAGTTTTTATACTGTATGCAGGTCTATATCTATACTATATAATTCATGTAAAGCATGAAATCAGTAGAAAGGGGGCTATAATCATGTTATGATGTATTGAGACACTACATTTTACCTCAAATCTTATAGCTTTATAAATTGCATAGGATTTATATTATGATCCAGCAACTGCTATAAAATAATTTCAACCTTTGAACCACAATATATATGATAAATGCATCATAAATATGATGCACAATACGCATTAACGATATTCAACCATATTACAAGGGCACCTCCTTGTGCCCCGCCCCAGTTACCTAAATATGAAACCAGAGATGCAGACAGACAGTAAACCACATCTGTTTTCTGCTTCCACCCAAAACCACCAAACAGGTTAAACCCAACACCAAGCCCTACTGAGATAACTGAAAAGACACCCTGAATAACGAACTACACCAACAGCTATATTCAGGTTTGAGTCTATATGTTAATCCGATGACAGTCTGTGTTATTTAGAATCATTTTGACCAAATTAAGGGCTTAATGTGGTACATTTTTTTTACTTCTTTTATTGACGCAATACTTGTCTTGAAACTATGAACAACAACATCAGCTGCTGAAGACTTTTTGTTTTATTGTCGTTTGAGCCTTATTCAGTCTCATTTCAGGCACATCCTCTGGAAGCAGCACAAAGCATTGTGGGAGGCTCATGTGTTTACTGAAAGCCGCTGAAAGCTCACCTGCAACTCTGGTGGCCTCACAGCTGCTCCCACCAGGGCAATTAACCCCAAGTTCAATGCAAAGACAGAATCACAAAAGGAAGGCCCGGTGGAATTTATAAAAAAATATACACATTCATGTTTGATTTGTTGATAATATACTTTGACAGAACTCATAAGTGAAAGTAATTATTTTGATGTCATGTACAATGATTGAAGTTTTGACTTGTAGATACAGTATGTCCAGCATGTTTTCATAGTAAAAATATATTGTGTACTCGTACAGGTCACCCCACTGAAGTTTATTATGACTGCATGCCCTGTATTCAGTGATGAAATGCAGCCAGCAGGCCATACTCTGACCTCATTAAAGAGCAGAGTATGAAGTCAGTTTCAATGAGGCTTTAAAGAGAGCTCCCACTACTCACGCATACCCATTGTCCTCTATATCAGGAGCATCAGGGGGGGATTTGTAAGCCTTTCTGATAAGCATCCGTAGCCCTGTAGACCGCTGCCAACCTCTGTTCTGCAGTCCTCATTCACAGGGAGGCCGGACTGGGAACAGCAGGGGTGTGTGTGTGTGTGTGTGTGTGTGTGTGTGTGTGTGTGTGTGTGTG